TACATACCTACACTACATTACAAATTCAGTGTGGTTTTCCTTGTTAGTAGCATTGTCTACCTGAAGCTCCATTACCATCAGTCATACACTGTGTAACACAACACTTGCCTGACACTGGAATTCTGTTGGTACAATTTAATTTACTTCTAATAAAATGAAAAATGCCAAGTACACTCTGCCAATTAATGAATCATAAACCAAATCTCACTCCAGGCTATGACACCAGAAAGTATTATGCTATTTCTGAACCTCCAAACATGAAGTGACTGATACACCTGTGCTTTCCATCTGCCTCACTGACCATCACATGTCGACAGCAGAGAACAGAAACATAACCTGTTCAAAGAGGACCTCAAAAATACACAGAAAAAGGACACAGTAGGGGAATTGTGGAGATTGTTCAACTATATAAAACCTATTGAGGACAACGTCATGGAAACCAGACAAGACATATCCCTCTAGACATATCCTATTTCAAAGAGTCTCAGTGGAAACACCAGGCAACTGTGTCTAAGCAAAAAATTAAAAGTGAACTAATAAAAATCTGATGTTCAGAGTAGCTCTGAGTCTCCTTACATCCTGGGACTGAGTAGGAGGCCAACCAAGTCCCCAGAGACAGTAGCCATGACAACATACACATGATGATTACTCAGGGAAGAATTACCAGAGCACACCCTGTTTGGCCTCTGCACCTGATTTTCCTCAGCATAAGGACAGTGACAGTAAGTGGTGGAATGTTGATTTTACACCAGTCACTCCCTAACTATCTTCTTGAGCAGGTCTCCAGCTGCTTCATGTTTACACATGTTAGACCAAACACAAAGAATCCACAACCTGCAATAGTCCCACATGAAGCAAACAGAAGGTATGTACTACAGCTGCTGGAACACAAAGGGGCTGACTGCTCCCAGCCCCACTTTTACCTGGCTACAGGTAGTTACAACCCAGCAGCTCCACCCTCTGAGCTACTCTTGCTTTGATTTTGGAAGAGTGGGACACTTCAATGATTTTGCTGTTCCTCAAATCACCTCTCAATCTAAGCTATTCTGTGTAAAATGTAATCCCCTCAAGCAGTATTTCAGTTATATTTCCACCCACTCACCACAGCTACTTGCTGACATCTCCACAAGTTCAGTTTTGCTGATGACAAAGAATCAAAGTTTTGAGCCTCTTGTCCAAAATTATCAGCTGCCATTTCACCAAGAAAACCTGGAATCATTCTCTAAAAAAAGAGTTTCCATGTAATATCTTAACCTTCTAAGCATGTTTACACACAGCAGCTTTCCCCACAGACAAGCTGCTCACAAACAGGCCTGTTCTACCTCTGCTGAATAATTGCTGCAATCATCTTTGCACCTCCAAGAGCCACTGCCCCAAACATGAATATGACTCAAAGAAATCTAGTTGTTTGGCCCCACTACCCCCAGGTACACATTTTAAGCCTAGGTTTACCCAGAAACACTGACCAGGTGCCAGTCTCAAAGTCTTCTGGAGGAAAAAACATTTGCCTTTAAGTCAAAACTTCGTGTTCCTAAGTAAGAAGTTTTTCAAAGCGTGTTCTATTTAACTTCACAACCCAACAAAATGACAGGACAATATGGGAAATATGTTCAGGCACCTAATAGGTAAACCACAGTCAGGTTATTTAAAACTACTTAAGGACTAAGCTAATAATAATTCATAGAAGCTATTTTATCTGAGACATAATAAAGAAAAATTTTAAGACCCAATCACATTTTACTATCAGTTTCAATTCCCTTGGAAATAAGTCAACTGCATCCATTCATGTTTCAGTATTTATCAAAGCTACCACCAGATTTAGTAATTAGGTGTACGAAATACATTATCATTCTGCAAAGCACCAGTAGTCAACAGCTCTCTAGGCAACGGGTGAGAAAGCAGCATTTCCTCACCCATCACACTCTGAACGTGAGCAACAGAACCTGCTCCCACCGAGCAGAAGCTCCCATCTGTGTGAACACCCTTCACTGCTGCCCCTGCACTCACATGTACCTATGAGACACAACAAATGCAGAAGTCATTGGTCCGTATTAGGAAATAAAACAGAGGCAGGAGATGGCAAGTATGCCCGAAACTTATTTCCTTTTGCTCCTCACAAAGGACCACCTGTAACACAGGCTGGAATCTGCAATCAGCCATCTCACAAAACAAGTGTTTATTGCCTGCCCCCCGGGGCTGCCGTTCTCGGCACGCAGCTGGGACTGACACTTGAAGTTTTCCATCGACAGGGTCTGTCCCCACACACTCGGCACTGTCGTTTTGAGAAACGCAGGGATCTCTCTTCGAAAGGCCCGCACGGGCACACAGGCCCGCAGAACCCTGCCCTTCCTCCCTGCCAGCACCTGCCCTTTTCCCAGGAGTGCGGTGCTAACGAGGCCTCCTTTCCAAAATGGCACCCAGCGAGGGGGCTTTTGGCTCAGGGACGTTTCCTAAGAACAAACAAGCAGCACAGCAGGGCTCGGGCTGTGCCGGCCCGGCCGGTGCCCAAGGCAGCAGCCGCAGG